AACTTTATTTACACTTTTTCTTAATATTCGCTCCACGTGAAAAAAAGTGAGTTCAATTAAAAATATATATATATATATATGCGTGCATACAATGTGCTTAAGTGGGAAGTGACCGATCGGTAACATATGAATGTACACATTTTTGTTGTGTATTGTCAAAGTATTTTAACTTATAAACGTATTATTTTAAGATTTTTCTTTGTGCTATCAACCAAAATACATTATTAAACCAAAAGTGCAAAAATTATTTTTTTAAATTAAAAAAAATGTGAAAAATGTATATTTTTAAAAATAAATCACGTATAACTTCGAAAAAATTCCTTTTTTCTACAGTTTTTTTATTTCATTTTATTATTATTCTGAAAAATGCCTAAAATACCTTAAAAGTTTTATTTTCGTATCTTCCATCATTGCTTAACATGACACGTCATTAATTGTGGTTGTAATTATTGCCAATGGATATGGAACCTACATGAAGTACGAACCTATTAGAGATACTTAATGATATAAATTGAAAATTTATCTTTTTACTACGTTAGGTTTTTTCTTTGACAAAATCAAACTTAATAAATATAAAACACAACAAGATAATTAATAAAGTAATTTAAAAATAAAAATTAATTAGGAAGAAAATAAAAGTTATGTTTAAATAATAAAATAACAGAGTTCAAGGGAAACCAAGATTTTCAAAAAGCATTTATAAGTAGATAATTGATTTCAAGAATAATTATTCTAAGATTAAGGATCAACAACTGAAAATAGATTCCGAGAATTCTGAGCTAGTCACGTTTAGCAAGGTGTAACTCTGCAGTGATGGAAAATATGAAAAGAAAACTTTTAAGGTAGTGTAGGTATTTTTCAGTAGAATAATAAAATGAAATAAAAAATTGTAGTATATGGTGAATTATTTGGAGTTATACGTGTTATACGAGTTACACGTGGTTGAGTTTTTAAAATACAAATTTTTGACTAAAATTTTTTAATTTTTAAATTTCTGGTTTAATTGTCTATTTTGATTGAAAGCACAAAGCATAGCTTTAAAATTAAAAAAAGAACTACTTTCGTAAATTGAATGGTTTTTTATATGGACAATAAAAATGCGTGGTAGGTTAGGTTTCGTTAAAAATAAAAAACTTAAATTGCCTATAACTTAAAAATAAAAATGTTAGACTCCCATCCTTTTAATGGGGGTATCTCCATCACTTTGTGGATACTTTCATATGACTCCGGCTTGTCATTTTCCCCAGGGGCACATACAAATATAATAGTATTATTTAGTTAAGAATAATAATAACAAGTATGCGGGTTCATATAATTTAAAAAACAAGAAAAAACTTTAAAAAAATTGAATGCACTTAAATTTTTAGCGTTGAAAAAAAAAGTTTTTTATTAGGTATGGATATATACTAAATACAACAGTGCAAAATATGAACTACGAGTCCATACTCGTATTGGAATCGTATTTATCTATTACAATCGTTATATCCATATACCTAATACATTTCAAAAATAGAAATATGAGTTTTTTTTGTTTAGGTAATAATCAAAACAGATTTTATTAAATTTTATAATAACAATATGAAGTTTTTAAAAAGAAAAAAAATGCCTTAAAAACCTAAAAATGCATTTAAAATGTCAAAGAATACTTTACAAATAAAAAAAAAAGTTCTAAAAGTGCAAAATAAAAGTTTCATATTTAAATTCTTTGGTATAAAAAACAAATTATGTGCTTGAATTTCATTGTTTTAGGACATTCAGAAAACAATGCAATTTTAATTATTATCCGTACCCTAATAATATTATTTTATACTTTATTGACGGTCTATAATAAATATTACTGCAACGCCTATATGAAAAATTTAAGTGTATGCATTGCACTTAATACATTTTTATAAAAAGTTTAGGTTAGGTCAAAAAAAAATAATAATATCTAAATAAAATACATATGTAAGCGGCATAAAGAAATGTTGAATATATTGGGATTTTTACAGTGAGTTTAATAGTTACATTTCTGAATATTAAAGTAGTTATAATAAACAAAAAAAATTACTGAAATATTATCATGTTTTCTAGTTCCTCGGTTTTTTTTTTTTTAATATCTGTAATACCACTCTTCTTATTGTAGTTCCGCGTCGAGAAAATTACCTATACACGGTTATTACACTGTTATTGGTTTTATTATCATGCGTTTTTTTTTTTTCTATCATTAATTTTCCGTTTTATAAAATTTCACTGTTTTGTATGTATTTTTCGTATTTTTTTCTCCCACTGCTATATAGTAATGCAATACGATAAAACACGATACAATTGTCGTGCTAAAACCTATACTCGACAAATATTGACATTCATATAAAAACGAACCCCCGCTGTAGTCTCCCTTACGCCAGTATACTGAATATCATTATTATACCACGTGGTATATAAAATACGAAAATTCTAACCGCATAGCGATAAATTAGTCGGTGAAAAGAGAAACGCGCCTCGATTATTTGAACGCAATAAAACTCTAATAATAATTATGCCATTTATATATAGTAAAAATAATTCCGCAATAAATTCTATTACCTATATATTATTCCACCCCGGCCGGTTTTTATTTCGTTATTATTATTATTATTTTTTATATTTTTTTATTATCACTCGGCACAGATTTTAATTCCCCGGTCTCACTTCGTCACGTTGTCGCCGTTGATTATTGCACTATACGACTGTAATACGACGCTCGTAAAATATTACGCCGACCGCTCCGAGCGTCACGTCCCGGCCGTTTTTACTCCGGCCGTCACGCACGCACTGACCACGACGGCGACGGCCGCGGTGTATTATCGCCACGTCCGACCGGGCCAATATTCGTAAAATGCATTTCCAAAGTTCGTTCGTAAATCAGCGGCCCGCGTGATACTCCATTACAACACTTATGGTACGCGGTGGTCGCATCGCTCTCCCCGTCATTAATTTTTCAAAAACGTCCGCGCATAGAATTATAGTTTTTGCCAACCTCCTCGTTGTACAAAACACGTTTAACTTTCGTAAATTAATCGTTAAATTCGTTTGAAAGTATAATATATCAAAACTCGTCCGCGCAGTATATTATCAGCGTTCCGGAAGTCGTTCCGATTCTAGTTGGTCGATTAAAATTTACCGCGCTCGTGTTTTATGGTGCGCGAGCGAAAGCGTCATATTATTCAGGGCCGGATTGGCCGGTTTGAAAATGGAAAATGGGAATTTTCCGGATGGCCTGGACCATATAACGGCCTGGCGGCCTGATCATTTTTTATAGGTAACACGATCCTTACTCGTATTAATATTAAAAACGTAGTAAACTCAACAAAACTGAGTGCTGCAACAACAAGATTAGTCCACTTTTCAAAATTATTCGGCAGAAGGAGAAACGTCGGAAAAAACTATATATACATATTGTATTGTATATTATCTAATTTGTTTAGTCCACATCGCTATTTTCTCCGTATCTAGTAAAAGTACTAGCATTATTTTTTCACCGAATTATGTAGCATATAATGTTGCTTTATTAAATACTATAAATGATATTAAACTCCACTCAGAATCTAAAAAAAATAAAAAATAATAATAAAAAATAACCATTCAGAATCGAATAATAATGGACCTACCGAATAGTTATACAAATCTTTTTAATTTTTGTAAAAAATCACTTTTTAATTGCTTGTTTTATCCTATCGTATAATATTTTATGACTATGACATTTTGTTGTAGCATTTCCATATAATTGTCTTTATAGAGACACCAATTATAAGTAAAATTTACAATTTTTGTGCAGCCGTCAATCGATTTCTGTATACCTAAATTTGGAGGCTTTATCTAATATTGGTAAATGATTCAATTATCCAATTGAATTTGTAAGTGGAAACATTTTCCGTTTGAATCGAATGATGTTCGATAAAATAACACGAGTATCTAGTTAATAAATATTTGTTTTTAAAATGTATTTGTTTTTTTATTTAGAGTATACCTACTTCTCTATTTACTATATGTATATATCCATGACCTTTCACACTGACACGAATGAAATTTTACGATTCAGCTTTGGGTTCGGACTGTTTAAAACTCGTAATATTCTTTTCAATGTATTGCAATAGTACGAACAGTAGCACGATAAATTGCTGGACACAATCTTTTAAATTAAATTTGAAACTAGTCTATTTTACGATCTTTCATGTAACAGCGATGCTTTTTTTAGGTATGTCAAATTAGTTGTATAATTATATTGTATATTTTTACCTGGCTAGTTGCTTCTATATCTTGCACGATTATATAAAGCATCAGTTTGTGGTTTACATGAACTCAAATATTACTCAATTGATATCGCTGAAAATTTCACGGGTTGTTCTTATTAGTTCTAATAATGTCTACAGGATAACTTGCATGGATAATATTATTCAACCCTTAAAATGTAGCTGAGCATTGTTTATTTATTTTTTTTTTAATACAATGTATATTATGTACGGGAAATACATATGCTAGTATATATTTGTTTCCAGGAAAGAAGAGTCAAGTCAAGTTTTTCAATTAAAGAAAATCAAATTTTTAAAATATATACATAGATCGCATTTATTAAAATTAGTGGAGTGTCCATGGCCAAAAATTAAAAGGGAAACGATCCTACATGATAAAATTATATAATTTATATTAATATTAACACAATACGCTTCTTTTTGTGGCAAGTTATACAAATATAACTAAGACATTTACTCACTATACTCGAATCGATTATCTGATCAAATATGGTAATGCAAATCTATTTCAATTGAGAGTATCTATGTATTTCTACAATTGGTGAATCCTCGTGGGATTGTACTATTCGTCATTATATCTTGCGAGTATGGACTATACATACTATTATGTTGTATAATTGTATTATTATTATTTCTTTATTTTTTAACTAAATCTATATTCAAACGTCACGATTAATTAAATTAAATTTTCATTTAGCGATGTGTTTTGGATTCTCTATATTATGTATACATACTATCCGTGCGACGCAACTTAGACATAACTTTAAACGGAAAATAGGTTAGTGGTTATTTACTCATATTATAGCTAGGTTGGTATACCTACGTAGTTGATCCATTAGACAATTAAAATAGCGTAATAATAAGAATAACCAGATTAATAACCAGAATAACCAGAATTTAAGTTAGTATATTTACATACATTTAGTTTTGTACGGAAACGAACGATTAATTGAATTTGAAGACTTATATGGTTTAAAAATCTCGAATTTATTTTCGTATAATGAAATTCATGGAAATGAATTTGAAATATTTGGAGTTCTGTAGTATGATAAATGCACGTGATGTTAATCTCTAACGCGCGTGGGCGCGCTCGCATGTTTTTGTGTCTGTGTGTTTGTCTGTATATGTGTATGTGTGGGCAGTCTTTAGATCACCGAACACAAACAAGAAACTTTTGGTATAGGTTCTATTTGAATGGCGTCTTCAGAGGCGGTCACAGCTTTCTGCACTTAATTAGTGTCATGCGGCAAGGTGCAGACAACCATAATAATATATAATATAACATCTGTGGCTATATTACAATTTGTATTTGTATACCATAATATTATTATCAGGCAGGTACCGAAGATACAAATGGTTTGTCGAGGTTTTATACAATTGTAAAATCAATACAATATAAATTTTCGAATTAAATGTATTTGTTGAAATTGATTACATTTGGAAAATTTACACAAACAAAGTTAAAACTAGTTTAAACAGCTTATAATAATAATAATAAAATCATTGGCAAAGAAAAACAAATTTAAGTGACCATTTTAACATGGTTTTTCGATAAACTTTAAATGAAAATTGCATTCATCATTTTTAAGTTTATAACTGAAAAATTAAATACAATTTTTATCTCAAACTTCGAGTATTTTTATAGAGATTATGCGATTTTCTTAATACCACTTACAAAAAAAAAAAAATAAAAATAGAAACCGTGTTTATGAATTCTTGATAATTTTGTTGTGTTATATTAGAACAATATTTATCATTACATTTTTGAGCATTTTTTTTAATATATGCATTTGGTGATAATGTCAAGTCTACATTTATTTTTAAGTGAATTAAAAAAAAATTGAAATAACAGTAATCGTTTATGAGTCAATTTACCCCGTTTTTTCTTAGGTTTTCCAATTAATAAGAAAACTTTAAGACAAATCACAAAACAAAATTTTAAATGTACTACCAAGAAGAAATTCGGTAGGTACTATAAACTAGTCTTGCAGTCTATAATATATAGATATAGTCTATAATATATTTTTGGTAGATAAGTAGATCACAAGCAGAATGAAAAAACACATCAAGAGAAAATCAATACATTCTTCCATATGCTTAGAATCTAAAAATCCTGTCTTATAAAGAATATTACAAGTGATAAACGAATTTTGTACATATTTATTAAAATAATATTTCGGTATAACCTAAAATTACAATTGTTATTTCCATCCATGGTATCTGTTGTTCTTATTATTTTCGTTTTGGCTCCTTTTTCGCATACCATTCGCGTATTTTGGATGTTCTTGACTGCACCGCCGGAGTTGATAAGAATTAAGACTAGTTTAAGACAGTTGTAAAAGTTGGTAGTTTCATAATTGTCGGCACAGATTGCCGGATTCGATGACGGTGTCCGGTCTTCTACAGTTTACAAAGCAATTACATTGACACTTCAAACAAACATTCACCAGATCATTAAACAATTGATATCATTTTCGGTGTTCCTATATTCTGCTATTGTTTTGTTATTACAATTGGGTATCCAGCATTTTGTTTTGATTAACCAAACAGCTAAGGTTAATAATAAATTGACTAACTTAAAATAATATTACCTTGAATTTGTATAATATTCAATGAATTATATGTTTGTTGAATACATCATCGTGTTTTATTTGACTACACAAATTTAAGTCTATCTTCGTTTTGTATTTTTCGTTAATTACACGGTTGATGTCGATAGTTGGTCGGGTAGTTCGATTCTGCCGAAATAACCTTTTTACCCGTAAAAATGTATCGACTCCGCCGAACTTTTTTACATGTTGATTTCAATTTATTTGTTTTTTTTGTTTTTATGGTTAGTTAGTAGTATGTTTTATGGTTAGTACAAATCGTTTACTGACAATTATTGCATAATTAATTTTTAAACTGTGTAACATAAATCGCGTAAAAGATTACAACTGTTACTAAATATCTATTACTTGAACACAAGCCAATATTGGAAAATGTAGACTTGTAGTTTTATTTCTGATTTTCGGTTTTACGATTAAATTTTTATTTATTATCCGGATTACGATATTAAACCGACGCGTGACGCGATAATACAAGAATTCCAGAGGAATAAATATCTGTTCTAACTACACTAAACGCGACTTTGTCTATTTTTAGATATCTTATATAATGTACAATTTAATATGTACATTTTGGTCTAATTAAGTGCCTCCCATTCAAAACATTTTATCTGTCACCCATTAGTTTACCGATTTTAGGGGTGAAGTTTTCAAAAATCTTTCCTTAGTGCATCAGTTAGTGAATCTTTTCTAATTTATTCAACGAAAATCACTGTAAAGGTTTCTAATCAATTTATTATACATATATTAAATGTATTTAATTGGTGTCGCTAACCAGTGAAATTAATATTAAAACTGCGAAACGATAAATACCCAATAGTCGCTATGGATATTTAATTTTAATTAAAGTTAAACTCATTTAATGATTTTGCTTAGTAGAATTAAAACAAAATACTTTATTATACTGATAGGTGTGATACTGTTGGAGGGGGGAAATTTGGAAGATAGGATACACTGAGTTGTTCAGTTTATATCTATACTCAACGATAAATTATTTGTTGCTGCCTAAAAACGATTCTGAGCGGAGTTCTGTTTAGCAATTATTGTTTAAAACAAATAACACAAAAATAAACATTAATGTATGAATTGTATTTGTTTTAAAATTAACAATCATAAAAGTCTTTTAATTGAAATTGCAAATTTTTGTTTTAATCGTTGTACATATATTATGTTTTTAGTATTACGAAATGTTTCAAATAAATCATTCGTCAGCAATGTGGGGATAAGTCAATAATAATAATAATGATAATTTTGACGATAGAATTATATAGTTTTATAAAAGTATGTTTTCATGTATATATATATTTAAATATAATATAAGGTGAAAAAGCGAGTTAAAGGTTTTTGGTGAAACAAAAGTTTTAATATATACTTGTCATCAAATTAAATTTTTGAACTACCTACCTACCTATATTTGGTTTGTCAGGGTAAACATTTTTCATGGGCATGATTTTTACGTCAAGTTTTAACAACAAAATCGTGCGCAGCCTTTTGATTTTTAGTTTGGGATTTTAGAGTCTTAATAAAACGTATGATTTATCAACAAATAAAAATTGTATTGTTCCTTAATTTCCGTAATGTAACAGTGAGTTACAGTTTTTTAGTTTTATAGAGCGATCAAAAAAAGTTATTTAAATATTCGCCATGTTTAATTGATTTATTTTACACTTATAATATATATTTTATTCACAATATAACTATTGTCATATTTTATTTTTCGAAAAACGTTATGTTATGTTAAGTTTTATTACGAAATATTTTCATATTATTGGTGTTACTATTTTCATAATTTACAATATAATCACGAATTTAATGAAAAAATACAAAAATTAAAGAACAACATTTTTTGGAAACACTTATATTAATATAGAAAATAATTTCATATTATCACATGTTGGGACACGTGTTGTTGTAATATAGGTGCCGAAGTACCTATGCATATTATATATATTATCAATATTTTGTTATAAATTAGTTATTTAAGTAATAACACCCAAAGTTTCGTTAGAATCAAAACAATATTACACGAATTTATTTACATTATGATTTAAAATACCATGGAAGATTATAATATTTTTAAAGTTTCTAAAGATTTTATTCCTCCAAGAATATTGGTTTTTTTCACTTGGAATATATTGTTGTTATAATAATTATAAAGCAATAGGGATACTTTCAAATTTAATTAACATTAAAAACTTCTCACCTTATCAACAATGTCAAAAACACACTTTCACCTTGTTTGGCATATTTTTTTTATTTTGACTATTCAAATAATGCTTTATGATTTCCAAAGTTATAATATATTAATTAATTGCTACATATTAACCTACTTAATATAGGCAAATTAAAATTAACTACATAATAACCTATATACTTGAATATCTTGTAGAAGTAATAACCAACATTTCGTTTAATAATATATTTCTAAATTTGATTATATACCGATTAAAATAATTTGCATTTAAAATGCACAGGGCCAATTTAAAACAAAACTTTATGTACTATTTGAATTAAATAGAAATAAATAAACTAATAATATAGAAAACTTTTAATAATTTTATTTTAACTTAAAAATGTATTTTTTTTTTTATAATAACTTATCTAAAATACCTAAAAATTATTTTTTTTTAGGAATGTAAAATTTGTTTTACCGGATAAAACTGTTTGAACATAATAAATTTTGTGTGCAAACGTAAATTGCGCATTTTTCTCCAGCTTTATGTCTTTCGTCTAAAAATATTTATAATACACTGTTATCACGGTATACAATCATAAATACCTTACACTCAGTAAGTTTAATAACATCCTATTCCTTATATACATTTGTATTTCAAAGTATGCATACAATTTAAAATATTCTTTTACGACGATATACATCATGTCTACTGAATTCCTCTAGTCATTCTTTTTTGTATGTCAGAATTTATCAAAATGTATTGAACAACTATAAATGGTCTAATAATTATGAATTAGTGAATCAAAAGCGGTTTCCAAATTTCAATTTTAATTATAATTTTTATTTCAAAATATGTTTAATACACGTATCGATATGCATTTAAAAAAATCTCAAATATATTTTTATATTCCGATTATATTCGAAACGCCAAAAAAATTTTTTATTTGAATGAAAAAATATATATTATTTAAAAACCTATAGATAAATAAAATTATTGTGTACCGTTAAAATATTAATACCATCATTATGTTAGAACAGCGAAGTACAAGATACCTACCTACAGTAGTCGTAAAACAAAACTTTAAAACTTCTTTAAGGGATTATTTTATAATGGTATTATCATGTTTATTATTTATGTTTGTTTAAATTATTTGAAATAAATAAATATTATACAGACAAAAACGTTTAAACGGTGTTTTTCACAAGCAATTTTGATACTTGAATATGTACTGTCTATACGATAATCAATGTTAATAAAATTATTTTTAATTTATAAATATACAAAT